TACCAGAGGCTTTTTAAATCGAGACTTGTAAAAAGGGTTGTAATTGTTCCAGCGGGACAGAAGCTCGGTTAGGGGCTGAAATGTGTGAATCTAAATATCCATAGAGGTCTGTCTATGATGAACTGCTGTATTGTAACACAGACCTACAGTCCTTTAAGTCAAAAACCACTTTACTATGTATCCTTTTTTGCTTTCTTGTCTGATTACAGTAGGAGCAATGACTATATAAAAGTTTTGGGTAGGAGTGGCAGATGGTTTTAAGGTAGTGTAGGATTAGCTCTGAGCCTCTTCTTGTTTGTAGTGATGATGGATAGGTTGGCAGATGACGTCTGGCTGGTGTCTCTGTGGTCTATGATATTTGTAGACATTGTGATTTGTAGTGACAGTAAGGAGCAGGTGGAAGAAAGCCTAGGGAGCTGGAAGTATGCTCTGGAGAGAAAAGGAAATAAAGTCAGTAGAAACGAGACAAAATACTGTAAATGAGAGGGAGACAGGTGGAAAGGTGAAGAAGAAAGGAGTGGAGATAATAAAGGTAGATGATTTAAATGCACAAGAGAGTGCAGACAGGGTTTTGGTGGGTGGAGATGAGTGTCAGGGGTTATTTGTGAAGAAGGATAGCAGCAAGAATGAAGGGGAAGGTTTGCAAGATGGTTGTAAGACCTGACAGTGACAAAAAGACAGAAGGCTGAGGTGGCAGAAGGAAGATGCTCTGGGAACACTATGTTCCCATGGTCTGCAACAAGACTGCACAAGTCTTCACAGTCTGACATGTTATATATTCAGAAATGTTCTTCTGCATACCTTAGTTTTATCAACTTATTATTTGAATTACTGTTGTCTTTGTGTCAGCTCTAAGCAGTCCCCTCTGACACTGACAAAGCATTTTCATCCAGAGAACCACTGCTCAGCTGATATTTTGTCTTTCCAGACCATTCTCTGTAAATCCCAGAGATGATTGTGTGGTGAAATCACCATTCTTCCATCCATCTTGCATTATCGAGGAGTTGGAACGGTGTACTTAATATAGTGGCCAGTGAGCGTAAAATATAAAATGTTAGAGAGATTTAGCAGCACTGCCGCACTATATGCATTACTTTAATCCTTTATAGATGAAGTGCTTCCCCCGTTTCCAGTCTTTATGTTGAGCTATGCTCGCTTCTTGCAGCTTCATATTTAATGGACACTGCTGAGAGTGTTGTCGGTCTCTGTGCCCACTTTTAACAGAAAATGAAAGGCTACGTTTCCTCAAATATTGAATTCCATCAAGATTGGCATAACCACCAATTTCGCAGTTCTGAGCTATCACACTGTGACTCGGCTTCCCATTTCAAGTCTAATCTGTGTGAATAAGATAAGATAAGATAAGAATGATGTCTACAAACGACGACTGAGTTGTGAAACATCGTGACAGACAGTATTCACACAACGAAAATAGAAAGATACTGCTTCTGTGTTTTCAGTTTACAGTTTGGAGTCTTGAAACAAAACCTGTGAGAGAAGGCCAAGCTACCCTACAATTAAAGCTGCAAATCTTAAATTTGTTCAGCTCCTCAGCCAGCTTTAAAGCTGCCACATGTTCACAAACCAGAAGCGTTTTACTGCCGAGCATTATTTTGCATGTGTGTAAACATTCCAGCAGTTCTCCCTTCACGACTTAATATTTGTTAAGTAAAATCCAAAATCACTGTGTGAGTTTACGTCTTCACCTTTGTGTATTACAGGAAGAGTGGTCAGGCGGTGTTGGTTCACTGCAAGATGGGCGTGTCCCGCTCTGCATCTACAGTGATTGCCTACGCTATGAAGCAGCAGCACTGGACACTGGATGTGGCACTGACCTACGTCAGGGATCGCCGGTCCATCATCAAGCCCAATGAGGGCTTCATGAAGCAGCTCCAGACCTACAGCGGCATCCTCAGTGCAAGGTTAGGCCTAGTGCTTTTTTTTTCCTGTTCTCTGTAGTTTGGGAGCTCAGTTGAGGAATGTGCTCCGTGTGCATTTATCATTCCAGCCAGCAGCGCCATAGTGCTCTCTGGAAGCGAAAGTCGAGAGACCAAAGACAAAAATCAGTTCAAAACGAGGAAAGAGGGGAGGAAGAAAAGACAGGCGAAAGTGAAGAAGAAGAAGATGAGGAGGAGGAAGAAGATGATGAGGAAGATGACGGACTTGATGAGGATGATGGCGTAGATATTCCAGATGAAAAAAATGACTCAGGGGAAGACTGTGAGGTAATCAGATCCTGAGCAATTTATCACTTTTTAAAATTTGGATTTACTTTTTTTTTTTTACCTTTTCAGCTTTAACTCCTTTATATCTTATCAACCTCATCTAGGTGTTTGAACAGCCTGCCCCAAAGTCTGACACTATCCAAAACCCTGTGCAGACAGGCCCTGTGATTACTGTAAATGAACCAGAAAAGGTGAGCAGACTGCCTGACCAACATTTGTCCTCATATGTTCACGCAGAGTGCATCAAAGGCTACTCATCTTTTTACTTCTCTTTAATCTCCAGGTCATACCGAGTGTTAATCGTAGTGGCAGAATGAACCTCTACTCATTAATGCAGTCCATCAGCGAGATGGATGATGTGGATAAAGGATATGATCAGGTAAAAGAAGCAGAGTGCCGGTCTCTCTAGCCTCCTCTTTGTAGTTAAGCTGACAGTTTGGAAATGGCTAATTTAGATTGAGGACATGTAGCGAAGCCTGTTGTTTGAAATAGGTCATGAATAAGGTTTTAACTATATGAGTCATGGTTCTTACCTCTCAGCTGTAAAAGGCTGATGGAGCATTGTCGTCACCCCAAGAATGAAGTGATGTAGGATTTTTTTATATTGTCATTACTACTACGAGACTGAGGGGTAGCATTGGAGGCCGTTTTTACAGCAACTTTTTCTTCTTGTGATTATGTTAATATTTCTACAGACATACATATTGGAAAAAACACCCAAACTAGGTTTCATTTTTAATCAAAATCTTTAGTTTGACTCTATATAAGCACCTGTAAGGCCTTCCATCCCCCCTTTTTCACACCTTGTGTCCTGCCAGTAACTATACTACCAAAATAGTAGCTGATTTAGTCTTCTGTGTGAATCTTTCTAGAGATTATGATGTAATCCACTTCAGGGGTCAACATTATTTTTGGCAGCATTTATGGTTGTGTTGGTTTAGGTGCTAATTATCTCACAGTTACAGTTAAAAATATTTATCTGTCAAGTTTTTGTCTACTTTGTACATTTCCTTACATCAGTTCCAATAGTTTCGACATTTGTGAGTCCTTTCATTGTTATTCCTTATCTTGAAGAGAGGACTGTTATGCCATCACTGATAAATTAAAAAACTATTGTGAATAAGTAGCCAGAAATAGAAGGTATTGACGGTACTGAAGCAGGATAATCACAGTAGTTGCCGGCTACAACGTGTAGTTAGATTTCAACCGAGGTTTACGTCAGGTAGTCACATAGCGTTCAGAGGCATTTGGGGTTGCGATGTATCTGTGGAGTAGATTTCTTCTGAAGAATTAATCCCAATGTTATAACTTTGTACTTTCCTACTTTGTTCTTTTCAAAGATGCCTGGCAGTCCGAGGAGGTCACCAGGACAGCGGAGGCGTAGCTATGGGCGCCGGTGTCTCACTCACCAGAAAGCATGTGTTGATGTTTCACCTGACCCATCCAGCCGGCCGGGCGCGGGCCAAAGCAAGCCGCAAAGTGATTAAAAAGATGAACAAGCAGGGAGGTACAAGAGGAACTATAAACGAGGCACAGAGGAGAAAAGAAGGAACGTGAGCTCTGGGAACATGCCAAGGTTTTTATACAATGATCCTAAAGTCTTAATTTATATTTTGCAGGTCTTGGATTGCATATGTCACCTCATAAAAGCTATAGTAGATAGTTGATTTTTATAAGGGCCATGCTGCAGTATTGCTGTACCAGTGAAAGCCAGGATATCTGATAGCTGAAATCATTGTGCATTATTGTATTATTATGTTTTATGTTTATGAAGGTATCCAAACATATATGAACCAGCATGTCCCTGCCGAGCTCCCTCAGTCCCTCTTCCGTTTTTTTTTAAGCTCTCCTTTCAACACTTCAGAGGTATCTATGCAATAACTGTTTTAATTTCCTTATACGAGGCTGTATCCTGCCAGCCCAAAGCAGAAAGTGTTCATTTCCTCCTTCTCACAACACATACCGTGTGCAGATATGGAGGATTTCACTGTATCTAAGCTGTGCATTATGGATTATGTCATGGCCAGTTTTATGGCATACGCCAGTTTGCCAAACTGTATTCCTCTGTGTCGGTGTGCCAATATATTTAAAGGAAATGTCGGTTTGCTAGGAACCTTTCCCACCCATTTTATTTTCATCCATTATATTTTGGCTCCAGGGCTACATGAGTGCCTTCAACCTGAGAATGAAAAGTGATTCTGTAAAGATGTTTTTAATGTTTTAGCTTAAGTACAAGGTGGTGGTAATATATTGCATTTCTCTTGTACCATTTGCCACTTTTTTGTCATCATAAATGTGACTTTACAAGTTTGTGCACAATTACAGTATATATAGTCACATAATTGCTGATGGCCTGGTTGCATGTTTTGTGTTTTATACCAGCCTGTGAGAAGACACTGTTCAGGGTTTGAGTTTGTATTTATATGGACTTTGAATGGATCAACTTAAATTATTCCATGTTCTGTTTTCACTAGATGCTGATGAGGACATTTATTTTATGCTGGTATTACTTTTTATCCAGTGAACCCAAGCTAAAAAAAAAAAAAAAGAAAGAAAAGAAAGCATTTAACCTGCATGCTCACTATTAGGAAAAAAAATGCACTTTATAATCCCAACACACTGTTCCCACCGCCTGAGCCAATTTCACACTGTACTATGATTAAAATGATCAGTGATTGGTTTTTATTGTCATCCATTTCCTTATTGTAACAGACTCTCTGCTGCCTGCACCTCACTCTTGTTTACATGCACCTGAGTAAAAAATAAATTATTGTATTCAAACCAAGAACCTTTATTTTTTGATTAAATAATAAACCAGAGGAGAATGATTTAATATAAAAGAGACATGGCACAGGGACAAGCCTTCTTTTGATTCCTATTTTTTACTGTAGCAGTTGTAATCTTAATATCAGCACAGTAATAGTTAACAAAAGAGAGGGGTAATGGGGATAAAGAGCAGATTTATACAAAACAGCTGATTTGACTGATGAATTAAAGTCAGGTCCCAATGTATTTCCTTCTGGGTTCACTTAGAATTATTCCTCCTGCTTTCATTGCAGCTCTGAAAGACTGAACCTGCAAAACAGAAAAGCCAAAGAGAGAGAGACGTGAAGCAAATGGCTACCTAAGTGAAGGAAAATGACAGTAACTTTATTTCCAGTCCCTGCTGCATGTACTCACAGAATCTGAGCGGTATGTCCAGGGAATCACCCTATACACCATCCTGGTGATGCCAGCCTGCTGGCAGCGATGTGCCAGCACCTCGCCCACAGCCTGACAGGCTGCCACGCAGTTTGTAGAAGCCAGCTCCTTCTTCACAGCCCACTCTTTGGTCGAACAAGAAAGCACCGGAATAGGAGAGCAGCTGGAAAACACTTGGGCTGTCACATGGTGTTGGCTACGGGAGAACATCAACCTGAAACAATGAGAAGCATGAGAGGAAATTAAATAGAGATAATTGTTCTTTATGCATGAATATGCTATGTTTCATATCAACCTGACTGATTACATTACATTTGTGTCCTTTCATACTGACAGTTCTGAACCCAATGGGGTAGAACAAATACAGAATATTCATATAATCTAGAATAATAGTAGTGAATATAAAAACAGTTACCTTTGTTTCCCAATTTTAGTTATACAACTTAACATTAATTTAAGAAAATAATTAATACATTTAGATAAATAGATACATGTTTGTATGCTGTAAGCTGTGATCCAATGTGGGGTTGATGCACATGACTGTCGTCTCTATTTCTCTTTGAATTTTGTTACCAACAACTGCTATACTTTTAAACATATTCCTTTCTGTTCATCTTGTGTCTTTGACTTTTTCTTTAGATCAATGCATGTGCGCCAACACGTCTCAAGAACAATGACTGTGTCACTGCTTGTTACAAAGTCATAATCCTTCATAGACTGAAATCATTTTAAATGTGTAATCTAGTTTGATAAGGGAACTGGTTACATTACTAATTACACTAATATAGTTACTGTATAACCTTCTAACAATGTGTTACCTCATAACAGTTGTTACTATAAAGTTAGAAAGTAATTTACAAGTCCATCACAACAGGATGCACCCTCACAGTGGTACTCAGTCTGATTCTGGATGTCACAGTAAGAACTTAAACCTTTACAGACCTGTGGTAGAACTGCCGGTGTGGCCAGGTTGTCTTCCAGCCCCGATCCTTCACAGCCAGAGCCATCTGCTCCAGATTGCGGGGATTTCTGTTTACAAAGGTCGGGTTCACGGCTTCATTTTCATCCGCGGAGGGCTCTGGCTGAGAAGCTGCTTGACTCAGACATCGAGCTGTGTGACAATTAGAGTCTGGTCAGCTTTTATGACTGCAGATAGAAAGTTTAAGGCTTTCTAGCTTTACTTGCTTACCCGTCTGGTTTGAAAGCAGGGCTGGCCGACAGCGTTGAATTTGACCTAAGAGCAGCCGCACACTGCGACTAACTTGGCTCAGATCCATGTCCTCCCGAGCAGTGCTCTCCTCACAAATAAAAAAGTCCAATCAATGTGTTACCATCCGGTAAGACGCCAAAAACAAGCAAACTACTGATAAAATACTATTCAAGAAAAATCCACCGTTACATGAGGAGTCCCATCTTTGACATTCCGATAATATCCGGTTCACTCTGTGCTACTTAGAAAACAGCACAGATAGAAACCGAACACGCGCTTAAGGTTCCGTTTACACTAACTCCGGAACTTAAAACGGTAGGAAACGCCAACAACTTTTTAATTCTACTAAAACTATCAGGCAACAAGAGTAACCAGTGATCTGAAGATTTTTCCCTGCAAAAGAAGTTATTATTATTATTTAATGTCAGACTCCTTTTGTGTAGGAGTTGTTGTTACATTCTTGTATTTAAATCTTTTACACTAATGAGCAAACGTCTTGAGCCACCCCTCATTTCCTTATACTGTATGTTACTAGGAAAATGGGAAAATAGTGCAGTTATTTATTGAAACGTGAAAACATACATGGAAATACAGTAAATCAGACAAAAACAGAGTTTTTACCATTCTTATGAGCTCAAAAGTCAAAATTTGGAATGACAACCTTTATTTTTCGACACAGGCTGAACTCTTTTAGTCAAGCTTTTTTGTCATTTATTTAAGTCGTCTTCACAAATAGTTTCCTGACATCTTGAAGGACAAACAAAGCTCTCATTTGGATGTTGCTGAGTTCTCTGTCAAGATGATCCCACACTACTTCAGTAATGTTGAGGTCAAGCCATGACTGATAGTTGTCCTATTGTGTTTTGGATCATTGTCATGCTGCTACAGACTGAGATCACCTTTTTGGTACAAAAAATAAAAATGTATACTTAGTGTGATGTTGGATAGAATCAAAGAAATGGAAACAAATTGATTTTTTTTTGTCACAGGCTGTTAAGAAAAAACGACCTAAAGACAAAAATGTTCCTCAGAAGCTAAATATGAAACAATAACAGTTGGCTCCTCTAGACTTCTGCACAGTACTTTCATCTATGGTAACTTCTCAAAACAGTACTGTGGCATATAAATGGTATCACTCGGCTGGCAACAGATACTTCAAGTGCTTCGTTTAATAAAACTCAACATTTAATTTATTTTCTGCAGAAAACTGTTCAATTTTACAGTGTAAACAGGGAGGGGAAAATTCATTCCATTGCAGTGTTTTGTACAAAGTGGTGATTTAGCAATAGAAGACACCATCTGTCCATAACACATAATGTATAAACAAACAGTCCTAGTAAGGCACCCGAGAAAAATGTATTTATCAATAAATACTTGGTGTGGTGTTGTTGGAAGACATGACAATGTGGGAACATCTTTGGCTCATAAAAATCATCCAAGTCATTATCTGAAGAATTCTAAAGAACTTGCACTTTAATACTTCAGGTCAAAACTTAAACTTTCCCTTAAACTGCAAAACAAATCCATTCACTAGTGTACTTTCCCTTTTCAAAATTGATGCTTATTATAAATGTTGAGAGAGTGAAAAGCACGATTACCAACAATTTCTCATGCTACCGATAGAGTAATTAGAAAGCAGTACATTACACTTTGAAAAATAATTAGCATGGGGATACAAAATATGCGTTTTATATATATGATATGATATAGTGGTAAATTAACGTATAGGGAATCATTCTACTGATGCAAAAATAACAGTACATCATTCATCATTCATTGATCATTGTGCAAGTTAACCAAACCATTTCATAGCAAAAGGGAACCAAAGGTCGAGTACCGTTGTTAAGACAGGGTCGTTCTGATTCATAGACACATAAATTAACTTTGCTAGCAACCCTGAATAAACCGTTGGCTGATCATATAGGGTTTGAGACATTTATTATAGATGTGAAGGAGAAAGGGGCGAGTTTGTAACCATCTCCACTGTAGAACTTGTTCTGAAACTCCACCCTGTGAAAGAGACGGGCATAAGTCAATCTCCAGCAACAAACAGAAACCTCAGAGCACGTACCATACTCTTATTCTACAGTGGACTTTTTTTAGGTAATAGTCCAACTTGTTGTTCCTAAAGGTTAAGTCAATCTTTTCTCCAGCACCACCATCCTGAGAAAACTACTGCATACTGTAGGTGGTGTCTCCTACAGTCAAATTCCACTTTGCATGCAGGGTTATTGCCAGAGGCAGCTGTAAAGTCTGCTTAGCACAGTCATTGTCTTCACTACATCTGTCACACGATAGACAGCAAATAGAGTGCAATGTTTACACCAGCATGTAACAAAAACATGTGACCATGGATTAAAAAAAATGCACAGGCACATAAAACCTGACACACACTCCGAAATAAAAAATAAATTAAAAAGTAGTTCAGGATTTTACCCAGTCCAATCATACAGCCTATTTCCTTTAAAAATCTTAGTTAAGCAAAGCTATTTTTCCCCCTTTGTCTCAACCCTTCTGTCATTCTCACCAGTGCAGACGGAGCGCGTGCAAGAAAGCTGAGAGCCCCTCCATGACCAGAAGGATGCAGACTGTCAGCACAGCAAAGAAGGCGAAAATCACAAAGAGGACTACAGCTCCCACGTAACCTTGCCACCTCAGCGCAATACGCATGACCATCTCCCACAGCACCTCTGACAGCTCTGTGGAGACACAAGTGAATCACTGTTAGAGAATCACAGCTGGCTGGAAAACAACAACATGAGTGTGTATAACTAGAGAAATAAAATGGATTAAAAAAAAGAAGAAGAGTATGAGTAATTTTCCTTTAAAAGAGGAAGTCGTGTGTGTGTGTGAGTGAGTGTGTGTGCATCATGTGAGTATGAAGATAAGCATTGTGTTTGTATGTGCAGTGCCACTGACGTGCGTGTGCCAGGCTGAGAGCCCAGAGTCGGAGGTAGGAGGCTGTGTTGGAGATGCAGCCCAAGCAGTACTCGATGGTGTGGATGGCCTGATGCATGAACACATCAGCGACATCAAACTCCTACAGACAGCACAACAACAACAAAACAAAAGGAGTTCATCAGACCGTATTAAAACAGGTAAACTAATTTAGTTACTCTAGCTTCACCCTCACCTCTTCTACTAGCGGCCTTCCTTCGACTTCCCCCTGATGAACATTGATCGAGCCTTCGTCAGACACCAGTGGACGCCTGTCTTCATCCAGATGCTGCAGAGAATTAAAGATCAGTCAGAAAAGTAAATGCAGCCAAAAAAAAGGAATTAAAATCCAACCAAACGCGGACTCACGACTTGACGTCGTCTTCTCTTGAACATAATGTATTCAAACGTGGGCTTCCCAAGGAGGAGGAATGGCACAGAACACAGAGCCAATATCACCAGGACCTTCTGCACTATAGCCTACACAGAGTTACAGAGAAGAGGTTAACCTCATTTGACCGTTAATTTATTCAGTTCAGGGCTTGCATGTATTTAACTACTTAATGACTGCAGCATTTTTGTCATTCAAAAAACAAAACGGAGACACAACTACATCACTGTTGCTTGATAATGCAGTTAAAGTGCTGATTACTATATTTGGAAAGTCCCTTATTGTGTTCATGGGCTTGTAATAGATGTGGCATCTGGGGTTTGACCTGCCAAAGCAGTGCTGCATTTACATGCTAGACTTTCACAAAATAAAAACCACAAACAACCACTGAACGATGTAAATATGGTAACAACATACATAAAGACTATCATTCAGTTTATAATAACATTTCATGATAACTACTGCTCAGTGTGATCAACCAACACACACGTTTCGGGAAGTGGGAAGCTAAGAAAATGCATAAAGCAAACCCGATATGTTCCTATTAGTGAAGCTCACAAACGACGCACACACCTGTCCATGATAAAGCTGAGGGTTGTCAGGGTTTTCCGTAAACAGGAACATGTTTATGAAGTGGAGCAGTATGCTGGGAGCACTTTTGGACTGAGAAGGAGCGTAAGCAACCCACTTATAGACCACCATGAACACCAGGTAGCCAAACAGAAACAGCATAAAGAAAAGCTCTGGGATCAGCACAAAAATCAAACTGCTGAACTTGCGAAAGTGCCTGTAGAGAAAAAAAAACAACAACCAGGGAGAAACCAGGATAAGAACATGAGGATGTGAAGGCAACACAGAGCTAATCTGAAACACACAAAACAGGTGTGCAAGCGAAACACATGCAACCAAAGGGTAAAGATTATTTACCAGTAGTTGAAGAATGACAAGCAGACTCCAAAAGTCATGTGAATAATGCCGATGATGACTGACATCTTCATCTTGTAAGAGTTTAGGAATGTTAGTTTGTTGTTGGACATCCCCCAGACCTGACGACAACATCAGAGAGAATAACTGGAGTTACAATCGAGACATATATATATATACATATTTATGTGCATATTTGATTGGAGGACGATGAATATGATGGGCACACCGGGTCAATGCCAAATGGATAGGGGCTTGTGAAAACGCCGGGCACAACAGGATCCATGGATAAGTACTGGCTCCCTGCCAGCACCGATGAACTGAAAGAGACCCCACGAAGGTAAAAAAAAGTGTGTTGAAAATGGACTAAACAGAAAATAAATATTACTTATTATATTATTGTTTATGATTTATTTGACCTGTATTTTGTGTGTACTAAAAACTCAATAAACACATTGTTGGGAAAAAAAAGCAAATACGTTTCCAGGGTGAATATACAAAAATGTTCTTACTTCCATATGTTTTTTTCAAACATTGGGCCGACGTGCCAGGCCGAGCTGAAGGTGGCGAGGCCTTTGCTGAAGCACTCGTTGTAAATGGCTCCCGTGTAGATGGAGAACAGTCCCATCAGCAGAATCAAATACCTTCCACCGAACATCATCCTCCAGATCTGACACACAAAGCGGTCAAGGACATGTTTTAGTACGTTAGAATTATTTGACTTATTTACATTTAAACATAAATGGGAAGCTGTGTGACAAAAAACAGAATGCAATGATTTGGAAATTTATTAATACGCCCACATTTTATTTACACAGAAAACAAATATTAAATGTCAAATATTTAACAGCTGGAGGAACAACGTGCAACAGCATCTTAGTCAAAGTTTTAGAGCAACAAATCCTCTCGTCCAGTCAACGTCTTTGAATATGTCAGTAAGATAACACTAAACCATGTGGTGTCTGAGGGGGGTGGTGCCACACAGCGGGAAACATGGCCGTGTCCCAAATCTTTTGCGTCATCTTGTTGCCATGTTTTGTTTTGTTTTCCTTAAATTGGTACATGCTTTCAGTTTAAACAGTTAACATGTTTTCTATGTCCTACTGTGAATCAAATATAGGTTTATGAGAATTGCAAATGAATGCGTTTTGTTATTATTTAGGTTCTATGACGTTTTTGGAATTGAGGTCACAGAAACCATTGCTACTTTTGCTCTTAGGTGATTTTTATGTTGGTTCAACCTGTAATGCCACTAAAAGAATGAAGCCAGAGGCATGTTTGTGCATGCAAATTTCAAACCACATGCAAAATTTACAAGGTACTGGTGGATTCCTTGGCTCACGCAGATTATGAAAACATTCTGGAATTTCAGTATATTTTATGGGGTATCTGTTAAACAGGAAGTGAGTTCATTTGGTTATTAGTGTGGTGACGAGCAGGTCCTGTGGAACAGAGGAACAATCTAAATGTGGTCTGTTGTTTTACTGATGCTGCTTGGTCTGAAATTAAATTCAAATTCAAATTCAAATTCTTATTTGTCACATACACAGTCATACACAGTATGATATGTAGTGAAATGCTTGGTTAAGTGGCCTTTAAGTTAGACATTTTGTTAAATACAGAGTGTCTCCTCTCCTAAGTTACCTCATTGTTGTTGTTTCTAAGTTTGGGATCCTTTTCCTCGAGGACCATCCAGAGAGCAGTCAGAGTCATCAGTAAACCATGGCCCACGTCCCCAAACATCACCGCAAACAGGAAGGGGAATGTAATTATGGTGAACAATGCTGCAGGAGCATTGAGAGACGAGATTTAGCCAAAGACAAATACCTGAAAGACTTCACTTTGAACACATTTCATGAGGAAATGATTTATGTCATCTAATGACGCACCTGGATTGACTTCACGGTAGGCTGCCACTCCGTAGGCGTCTACAATGTTCTGGAAACCTGTTGTGAAGGAGTTGAGGGGAAACAGAGTAGGTGGAGGTGTAGAGCAAGGCAAGCGGTTGTAGAAAGAGTCAACCCCACTGCCGCTTTTCCTCTGAGGTCGGAGAACAGGATGGGATAAAAACAGGAAATTAGGTAATTTACTCATATGTGCTTTTTACAGCTCTATGTTTCTGCTCATCTGTTGTCTCACCCCTCCCTCTCTCAGCGCACTCTGCAGTTCAGGCAGCTTGGCGGTGGGACACCAGGCCTCAGCGATCAGGCATTTGTCAGTGACAGAGGGGCTGCAGAGATTCAGTACCGACTGGATCGCCTTGCATTTCTGGACGCGCACCTTCCACTGGGGCAGAACGGCCACCGCCTTCATCAGCAGCTGCTGCAAGAAGCTTTCTGTCTGTGACAACACCTGAAGTCGCAGAAGGAAACACAAAAAGAGGCGCGATGAATGTTCTAGAAGCACTGTAATATAATATCCTATGTAGAAACTATAAAACCAGATATTACAGTCTTTTAATTATTTTGATGTGAATATGTAGTATCAAAAACCAAAAGAAAATCACTCACTGATTTGATGTCTTCAATTCTACCTTGAAGTCCCTGGAGAACCTCCTCTCTCTCAGCAGAGCTCTC